GAACAGTGAAATCTGGTAGATCGATTATTCCTCGTGGCGAGCGCGAGTCGATGGACGTCGTCGAGTTTGATCGCGCGCGAATGTAGCGGCCGTTTCCGGTCCGCTTATGGCGAACGATAGAAAGTAAGATCGGTATAGTTATACGTTGCGAGAATGTAAAGTTAAACTAAAAGCGCCCGGGGCTCATGTAACGGACGTGCAAAGGTGAAAATCGGTCATCGCGGGGTCAATGAAATCCGGCGAGATTGGCCGTAAAAGCATCGCGACTTACCTCGGCATCAGGTCGTCGTCATTTGGTTTCAAGAATCGTGGAACCTTCCTGCGTGAAGACAAAATTAATTTTACGAAATTGTGTATTGAAATTGCAAGATTATTTGTCTATATAAGTAGTTGTCACTGAATATTGAACTACAAAATGTATGATATCACCTTAAAAAATAATTAGCTTTTTTAAAAAGTTTAAAAAGACGCCACGTATAAGCACCATCCAATCAAGAATTATATAATTTAACTAATTAATTAAATAATTCAATTAATTCTTTTACTAAAAATTTCGATTCCAAGAAACTTGTTTTATTATCAAGCACAATTACTCATTCGAACCCGTAACAGTTCTCTCTCTCTCTCTCTCGCAATTTCAATCACCTTAGCTACAATCGTCGACATTTTTACAGTAACAATGATAAAAGCGTCCCTGACGCTTCATTATTTAGATGGATGGATCGCTCATCTTTTAGAACTTCGATCATTGTTTCAAGGACAAGAGACGCGCGATACCCTTGATTTCTAGTGAATTGCACGTCGAGATTAACACTCGCATGTGCACTTCCTCGATAATTATGCCTTGATTTCGTAAGAGTTTTCTGTAAATTTACGACGAACGGAAGTCGTCTGATAAATGCTGTTGGATATTAGATTGTTCATTCCTTATAACGCGAAACATCAAATATCCTTTTGTTTAAAATGTACGTTACATCAATTTCTTTGTAGCACCACTGATTCTTTGAAATTCAATTAATAAAGAGGAGCTTTCTTATTTTTATTTTGCAAACTAATTTATACAGTATAAGCACCGGTAAATTAAAAACTTGTTCTGATAACGTAGTCTTGCTAAATAGAAATAACATCTATTTTATCACCTATCCATTAATAAGGCTTAAATAAAACCAAATTTATTTAAATTAAATTTCCGAGTTGTATCAATTAAAATAAAAATACTTAATAAAAGAAAAATATTTAAATTAAAATGAAATCAAAACTAATTATACAGCTCAAGTGAGTACAATTTCACCGTCTCCCGTTACGTGTAGACGACGTATTCCTTCGGGGAGCATTTTTTTCTTCGCCTTTGAAGCAACCAGACACTTGGAAAATGTACCACGACGAAAGTGGGTTGGCCGGTCGCGCGCTAACCGCGAGAGAGGTGAACGTTCTCTAAAAAGATTTTCTCTCGGCAACACCGTATTGTATTATAGGTACTCTGTCGTTTGACAGTTTCGAGCCGACTTAAGGTACCACATTCGCACGTACCGTCAACGTCATCGGTAGAAAATAGTATTCTGACTCACTCGTCTATACGTAACGCCGCCGTGGCCGATTCTTCCTTTTTTATACGTGAGAACGATCGATCAGTGATGTTAATGAATGTATCCAAGCGAGAATCTTTTCTGTCAATTGAATCTCCGTTCTGCATTAGATGGAATGATACATACGATTATTAACTCGCGAAGAAAAATAGCACGGGATTGAATATATTTAGCTCGCACACGAGACAACGGTATTTTTTAATGTTGTATTTTGTTACTGCATGAGTTGAACGTATTCAAATGATTATGCTATTTTCTACGTAAGATACAATATCATGTTACATATTTAATATACAATTATATGCATATATGATTAATATAGTATGTAATGACGCATGTGATTATTACATAAGTATTTGTGTATAACTTTTAATCACACACACACACACACACAATAATGGATAAATTAAGATTTATTATTTTATGATTAATTTTATCATAAAAAGTTATGCATTTTAATTAATAAGGATTCCACGCCAATAAATAGAGAAAGCTAATATTTCAATTAATTTTAACTCGGTTTTATTTTGTAAATAATACATATAATATTTAATAAATATAACCAACATAATGAGAACTAATCGGCCAATTTTATGGTTGAAAAGACTATCTCACATCTTTACTTTCTTCTTTGTATCCTCGATCGATTATAATATTTAACTTGTGAACCACTTCGCAACGTTGCGATCGAAAGGAGTTGAAATTGCGACAAATCGCTATTGCATCGTCCCGTAACCACGCTATCGCTATCGTGTTCAGCACCGTGTATATGTCTCCAAAACGACGGGTAGCCATAATTGATCGTAATGACTCGCTAATTGATAGGTTGAAGAGGTTTACCGCGTTTTCTAAAGAAAGCCATTCGGCGTACGGCAAAGTCATCGCTCCGGCAAATTGCAATGACGATTTCTTCCATGTCGCACGCTCCGTGAATCTCGAGTGGGTGGAAGCATAACTCTCGTTTCCCCCTTTTTTTTCTACGGGATTTCATGTCGCGATAGTTGCACATTGGAAATTTCGCGATTTACGCGAAATAATAGCTCTACAATATAGTAAGCCAGCGAAAAATAACACGTATCGCGCAACATATCGTTTACCGTGTTACGTCTTGCGTGTATGTATAAAGAAATTATGCATAGAAATTCAGTTGATAGAAACACGCAATTGTGATTTAATTAACTATCCAATCATTATTGTAAATACTCGCCTAAAGCGAGAAGCGGAGCGAGCAGTTAAGATATGTATCGCATTTATTTTAATAGGAAATTTTATGTTTTTCCAATAGTATTTCAAATTTCGAGAGCAATGCAAATCTCAGCTTTTCCTTTCTTGTATCTGATGTTTATCGAATTTAGTTTTTCAGATAGAAAGCTGTTGTGATAAACTGATAACAAATTAATGAATAACAATAAATAATTAATTTTATATTGTAAATATAATTTATATTAAGAAATTAATTGTTTGCGAGTAGAAAATTCGCTGACTTCTCTTCATTTACTTTTGTAATTTTTTCAGACATTTCTTAGACACTTACATAAAGCAACTTTTCAGTATCTATCCATGTTATTTTTTTCGATTCGAGAAATTGTTGGCGATACATTTTTTTAATAAAGCTATAATAAGCGGTGCGCTATACCAGTTTCTACTTTGCTGTTCCCACTATTATATGCGATTATAGGCGAACGCCATTTATTTCGCAGGATGTGCAAATGAGCCGCTCTCCGCCGACGCAACTTGTACGCGCTCCCGTAGCTTAGCGAGTTTCATCTTGCCTCGTCCCGTTTTAGTTTGACGATCATGCAGGTTGCCTGTCGCTCGCCCGAACTATCGCGAAATCCTTTCTACATCCTAGACAATTTCCCCGAGTGGAAAGTGCTTAGTCGCGTTCGGGTTTCTTCGCGCCACGAGTGGGCGATCCTCGGCTTGTCTAATATTGTAAATTAACTGTTTCAAACACTTCCTTCACCGATACCGATTGATGCGGGATATAAATTCCAGAATTGTGATTATTAAATCGAATACAAGTCGAAGATAATTACAAGGTCGAAAAAAATATTCCATTGATTTTAACGGATATCTAATGTAATATCTCATGACCAGTAAAGCCATATTACCTGACTTAATTGCTTACAATTTTTGCTTTTAGTTTTTAAACAGAATGCCATAGTAAAAAGATTGTTGGAAAATGAAACAATTGCCAGTCACGACGGTGTCATTCATTGTGTTAGCAGACATCCCAGAAGTCAATAGTCGCTACTGCGTGTGCAATACTCCGTGAACTTACCATTATAATCCACAATTGTACTGTTGCAACGTACGTTTCTTGCACAAAATTGTAATGATCCATTGCCAATCGGCTTACACGTTAAGACGCCGCAGGAAAGACATTTAACAGCGTCGATATTCGTCGGGAGAAGCATTTCAACACATTTACGCCGCGTTTGCGGTAATCCATAATTTAATGCTTGTAAGGATTTACCGGATACAGCGAGCAGGACGAATGGCGCGCTTGAATCGGGAAAGTCTCTTGCACAAAGTCGCGATTGCGTGAAACCGAGAAACGCGGCCGACGAGAAGAATGCACACTTTTACGAAGCTGGAGCTTTCATTTTTTTTTCGCTTTCTATGCATTAAGCTAAAATAAATATCAACATTTTATCATACGGTATTAACTTATAATTGCTGTACAATTTACACTCTTATTAACAATAAGTAATAATTATGAAACGTTTCCTCTGACAGAAATGTATTCAGGTTTACATTTAAAAAAATGTCAGATCTAAAGACCTGAAAAGTTGTAGGACTTGGAAATGGCTTCTATTTTGTCGAGAAGAGAAAGTTAACTCCAACTGCAGTAGCTTTGAAAGAGAATGTTCTTCCGTCACGTTACTTAATGTGCAGAGTTTGATTTAACAAAAAATATTTTTGAAATTTAACTTATCCGAATAAGAAGCATCGCAAGATCATGTGGACTGAAGATAATTCTGCTATTTCTTTCGGCATTTTCCTATTCGCATGCAATTTCCATCGACGAGATTACATCGCGAAAATATAAACGCGAGTTCACTTTCACTAGTGACCCACGATGTCGCGAGCAGGAAGACAGGTTGCATCAACGTGGATTGCCGCGGAGGTATTTGTCCAGCTTTCGAAGCCTCAAGAAATACTCGTCTCTTTCCGCCGGAATTTTTCAAGTCTCCACCTCTTATAGATAAAAAAGATAGGGACTTCAAACATGACATATCTCTTTTGTGAAATTAATAATTAATTTCTAATATGAAGAATTATTCACATCATGCAGAATTCCGTAAATAGATTATCGATAAGTAATAATGTTAAGATGACAAAAGTTCTACTCTCTCTTGAAAATATTAATTATGCAAAAGTCAGGATAAAAAATCATTTTATTTGCAGGAACCCGTAGAATCGAAGGATTCTCTGCAAAGTCTCGCTGCACCAGCGAAGAAGGAAGTCGACTCGGATACTAAGGACATAAAAACTCAAGGAGAAGGAGAAAACAGCTCGAAATCTGACAGCGAGAATGGCGATCGCGACGATGATGATGATGATTACGATGACGATGAATTCCCTCCTGTGCACATCAAACTTCCTCTTCAGTTGGATCTCGACGACATTGCAGGCGTAAATATATCATCTTACATGATTCTACAAATCCTATCCTTTCACACAAATATTTTAATGATAATTGATATAAAAATCTCATATATCCACGCGGAGAGAATTTTCTTTTATTTATCCTGAAAATATTGTAATCGTGGGATAACATGGCATTTTGAAGACCTTTATGAAAGTGCTTGGAAATTTTACCATACATTCTATTAGTAAAATATATACTAAGTATAAATACGTCGGGACTTTTTATGATTTTCATTTTTGTAACAATATTGATATATGAATCGTATCTCAAACTTGGATTGCTTTCCAGACGTTAATTCAACAAGCTCGTAGCAGAGTTTCCTGTGTGGTTGAAAGACGGCGAGCCGACGAGGTGATGGACGGAACCGGTGACAACGGTTTAGATAACAGTACCGATCCACAGCGTTTCCAAAGACTAAGTGGCGAGCGAGTTGCAATTCTCTGCGAGTCGGGCAGTCCAAACCAGGAGTAAGTAACAGCATAAGAGAACCGTGTAAAACAAAGCATTAAATAATAATTATTTTGGTAATTGTATTCAATATCAAAATTACCGAATACTGAAATTATTATTTTGGTCCTTAGTCAATAATTCTTACAAAATATTTATTGCAACGCGGATAAGATACAATAGAAAAGTAGATTTCCATTTACTAAATATTAAAAGGACGAATAAACAAGCAACGACAACGCCGCAGGTGTAAAATTTAATATTGTGAACTTAATAAAATTATCACAAATAAAACAATGGAACATAACAATAAGGATTTTGCATTTACTGTTTACAGGCAGCAGGAGCAAGAGATGCTTACTCCAATCATCGTGCCCCTAGGCACCGTACAAATTCCCCTCCAGTCCCAGGAACCTAACCCGGGCTACCATCAATACCAAATACATACCCAGTATCAAGTTCCCGATATGCAGCAATTGCCGCTTAGCGACCCACGAGGATTGAATCACATCCCGCCGGGTGTACTTCCTCCTGAACTTCGTAACCTTCCTCAGTTGACTATGGAGATGCGACCGCCTCGAATGGGTCCGCAGCCGCCTATGGGACCTCAAAATAACCCGATGGGACCACAAGTGAGTCTTGTCTACTCCGCAAACGTAAACGAACTATGTGCGACACTATTGTGAATCAAATTTATTTATTATAATAATTTATTTAACAAGTTGTCAGTGTGTCAATTATGATATTTATGTCTAGATCGATATGCGCCAGATCCCTATCGAGCTGCGTCACTTCCCGATGGATCCGATGAGAGGAATGCGACCGATGGCTCAGGAGCCTCGCCAGGAACCGCAACAGATTTCGATGGTGTATCAGCAGCAGGCCGAGCAAGGTCCTAATACTTACAATCAAGAGCAAGGCCCAGCTATGATGCCGCCACCCCCTCCGCAAGCCGAAGCGCAGGAGCAAGACCCGAGAATGCAGCAGATTCCACCTATGATGATCCCGCAGACCGAGCAGAGGCCACCTGTTGCACCTCAGGCTACGCCTGAAAAGCCACGCTCTCCCTTCCAGGGCATTCCCATAGAAATCAGAAGAATAATTCAGCAAGTACCGTTGGAGATTAAGAACATCATCCAGCATATCACTGGCGAAGTTCGGGCTATTCCGGTTCAAGTACCAGAGGGGGCACGTCGCGAGGTAACTTTATTTATTTATCTTACGTTATGTTGTAAAGCATATTTTGCAAAAATCTAGAGAAAGCATGTTTTTACAAACAGAATGTTACATAATACATTTCTTTTATTAAATTGCGGATTAATGTTAACACAAAAATGGTGCTAAGATCTTTATTCGACAAATTGTGTAACGTACAACTGTTAAAGCCATGTTCTGCCACATTCCTAAATGTATATTCTAACGGAAATAGGAACTCAAACCGTTCCCGGAAGGCGCGCGACCCATACCATTCCCAGGACCATTCCCACTTCCGGTGGAAGTGAGAAATTTGATTGAACATGGAAACATCGAAGGTCGTCAACGCCCGGATGGTGGCGAAGAGCAACAGGAAACGAAGCCTTTCCCAGGTCCGGAGGATGACAGCGATGAAGAGAGAAACTTCCCCATTCCTATGGAGATCCGCAATATAATTCACCAGGTACAATTTATTTAAAATGAAAACGCGATGAATTAACAAAAAAGATTTTAACTAGTTAATATACACTCACAAGTAAACCTATCCAAGTGGGGACACGCCGATTTTGATGAATGTTGAAGTTTTTAGCTGAAAATAAGGGACACGTATTTTTTTATACATGCCCATACGCACTTTTAGGTGGTGAAATACCATTTTGAAGAAAATTTGATTTTCTCTTTCGGGGCGAATATTGACGAAGGTGTAAGAGCTAGAAAAATAATTTTTTAAAAATAAATATTGAATGGTTTTAATAGTACTTTAAAACTGTGAGCAAAAAGTTTTGTTTAATACCCCCACTACGGCCACAATGGCCGAGTATAATTGCCAATCAAATATTCTTAAAGTGGACATTCGGAGCTTCATTTACCATTTTTGTATTTATTTTTATCTTCATTATTTACCAAGTTATGATAACTTGAAATTTGGTACATTTCTCCCAAATTTTTAGTTTACCGCTTTTTTTGCGACTGACAATGAGTGTAGATGATAATATATAAAGGGTTATATGATAATTATTAATTTGAAATTAATACAAAATCTTTGAAGAGTGTACCTTTGTTACATATTTTTTAATAACGAATTGAAGTTTGTTATGTCAGAATTTTAAATTATGATGTATATTATAGATTTATTTATACAACATGGATGTCCAAAAGTATCGTAAAAAAAACACATGTCCAAATATGCGTTTTTAGCAGCAGTAAAATAATATACATGCATCAGATTATTTTTATAGATTAGATATTTATATATAAAAAAATGAAAATCTAGTTGATACATTTATAAGAATTTATGGTAATAAGGTAGCGTGGCCGAGCGGTCTAAGGCGCTGGTTTAAGGCACCAGTCTCTTCGGAGGCGTGGGTTCGAATCCCACCGCTGCCAATCTTTTGATCCGGAGATCCATTTTCTGTAGATAAGTTATTAGAAGATTATTACGTAATGAAACACAAACCGTCGCGCGCGCATGACTTGCACACGTGTGTAACGTGGTCTGAGTCGTGGTCTAAGGCTGATTACAACACACGAAACTCTGCGGAGACAGGATTTGAATAATCATTGATCTATTTTTTCTTTTTCTTCTTGAGGGGTTCAATAATCTTACATAACAATTTTTAACGAAGCAATTAATTAAGGGATTGCTGCAATTTTAGGTTGTCGAAGGTCGTGCTTTCCCAGTTCCGAGAATTGCATTGAGACCGGTCAAATCCATGGAGGTACCGGTAGAGGCGCATGCTGAAGTGACCGATGACCAGTCCACTGAACAACAACAGCCCGAACATCGGGAACAGGAGCAACAACAAGCGGCACATCTGATAAGTATTCAACAGCATCAGCAGCAGCAGCAACAGCAGCAGCAGCAGCAGCAGCCGCCACAGCAGCAACAGCAGCAGCAATCCATCCAGGAGGAGGAATCTCGCCCGCATTGTAAGTAAAAATTTATTTGTTTTAAATTCAGATTTTTTTTACAATTACTATACTAATATAAAGGAAAGTCCCCTATTATGAGATAGGCTCCTAATATGCTAAATTAATAGGCATCAACCGTTAAAATCTGTTTAGTGGAAAATTGATCGTATAATCGTTGCGAAAAAAGATTTGTGATTGAATTTGGGCGTTGAAAACCTATTGTCTCACATTAAAATCCTATCTCATAATAGAGGACTTTCCTCTATTTTTATTCTTAAGTTACTTTTGATATTAGAATCGTTTGTTATAAATAAAATGGTTAAAAAACTTAGGCTATAAAGTAGAAAAAATAAAGTTAAATATTCTATACTCTTACACTAGAATTCAAGTATATCCATCTACTTGCAGATGTGCAACCACGCTCGGTGCGCTCCGTCCCAGAAGAATTCCTGCATCGTCGCGAAAAGCGCGTGCGTCGTTGTGCCTGTGATTGCGCGTGCTAAAGGATGCAGTCGATTGCGTCCATCATGGGCGGAACAAATTGTCAAAAGAGTCCGCCCGAGATAAAATTAAAAGTTCTTAAAAACGCACGCCATCCAAGCACACTTTGGTCGGAAGTTCGCTGCAGTTTCGACAAGTGAAGCGAAACACAAGAAAAATAGTTGGAGTATATTTTCATCGGCGTTATAATCGCTGCAAATACATCGAATCGCATTAAAGTACTTTCATCATTATAACAAATCACGATAACCGAGTAACTTTTCTGCAGGTTGACCCAAGTTCCACATGGCTGGAGCGTTGGATAAAAAACAAAGAATCTGGAATTATATTAACAAACTGCATTTACGATAAAGTATTTGTACGAAATTGATAGTATTTTTATCTCACGCGGTAGATAAGTATTAATCGAAGCATACAGTTGATAATTAAAAATAAGCGTGCTTATCGAGGAATAATATCTTGGTTTAACACATAATTGATTACAGAGTATTTTCCCTTCTTTATTGGCTTATAATGCGAGATTAAAACCGTTTATAAACGTAACAGTTACATATATTGAGACACATTTCATCAACAAGTTGCGAATTGTTGACAAGAAAGGAATTGTTGATAGGCATGGGTGATACTTTCCAAATCAATTTAATTGACTACATCGTTATATTCTCTTTTATAGAGAGAAAGAATGCGAAGATAGCTTAGAAATCTGTGATTCTCCTATAGAAATCCCTGTGAAAACGCGCTTCTCATGCAATGCGGCACACAGGCACGCATGGTCAAAGATCATTAATAATTAAAATTTCTGTACAATAATTGTCTTTTACATTCCGTTATTAACTTTATATTTTTGTTTATTTCCTTATTGTACCCCCGCCTCGCCTTTTAAAGTGATAGAGGAAAATTAAGGTAGAGATTCTTTTACGTAAAAGACATAATTTAAATTTCTCAAGAGTATTCTTGAATAACACTTTAGTTTAACTGGTTATTTACAAATGTATTCCTGTACATTGTTTACGCCTATCGAAAATTAATTTAAGCTTTACGTGTTTTATTGATTTATATTCTGTATTACATGTTTTTTTTTCTTTCTCATGACAAGTAATAAAGTGATACGATATTGATTAGACTTAATTGATATCTTATAACAATCCGAATGCATAATATGTAATAGAGAAATAAACACACACACGCACACATATATATCAAAATATAAGAACAAATAAAATAAATTTTATTACAAAAGAATTTATAGAAAGTCAATTAATTTCTATTAATTTTTCTCTTTTCTTGTTCGTTTAATCTTTATCATTGCTTATAATTAAATTAATAATAAAAATATGTAGTAAAAGGCATAGCAAATAACGAAATAGTATCTGCTTTTACATAACAAACATGCACAATAAAACGGAAATGTAACAAATAACTCTATCACCATTAATTGTACTACAAGTATTTGCCGCATGACGAGATTTAATAAATAATCAACGAAAACACAAAAGAGAAAATTGAGGTTGAAAAATTTTGCATAATATTCTCAAATTATTATCCTTTCTTTTTGTGATTTTTTAAATATATTTTTTGACGTTGATTAAGTTTTCTCTGCCTATACGGTTACTACTTACTTCCAGTTTTGCTAATGTTATAATATAACATCTTAACTACCAAAGAAACACGTTTACAACATTCTTGAGCTTTTTTTGCATCAACGTAGCGTACCATGAAATCTTATGTTTTGTGAGCATTTACGCAGAATGCGGAAATTGTTGGTACTTCTTGTCATCCCTAACCCGCACACTGCATGTATATGTACAATTCAATATAATGGTGCGTATTCTCATTATTCTTTCTTACACAATTATGGTCCATGTCGAGTAAAAATTTGCAAGTCACAACTCAAGGAAAACTGAAAAGTCAAGATGACGTCAATTTGATGTCATATTAACCAAAATATGACATAAATTTGGTCAATATGATATCAAATTGACATCATCTTGACTTTTCATTTTCTTTGGGAATGTCGAAATATAATACATTCCAATTTACTCAAGCTATTACTATTGATGGAAAGCTCGAAATATGTATGTCATTTATTTTCTATTTTTATGCCACATTTATTAATTCTATTTGTTTATGTGATAACTTTCAGTTTATTTTTATAATAAAATAGAAAATATCAAAACGTTTTTTGCGGCTCACATCTTGTATCAAAAGAAGATTTACTTATCATGCTAATTGTATGATTTATAAAAGAAACGATCGAATCAGATTACGAAATCGAGCAAACGCAAGAACATATCGTAGGAATATTTGCTGTCCACGCACGACAGAGAAACGCGGATGTTATTCCAAAACATTTTGTAAATGCCATGTCGACAGAACATCGAAACAAGAAAAGACAAATCAATAGCATTTGTATATTAACCTGACTTTATCAAGAGTTAATCAGACACATTTATGAAAAAAAATTAAATTTACATTTTTATATTTTTAAATGTTAATGTTTTAAAATAAATTTATTATACAGATGCCGTCTGAAAATGTCAATATTATACGTATTTTCTTGAAAGTATTGATGCAAGAAAAGAAATAACACAAAATTTGCCACGCACTACCTCGAGCTAGATATTATTTTTCATGAATTGTAATTAGAATAATCATGAGCTGAGTAAAGTAACGTGCAATTACATATCGCATGAAATAATAAAACCTATCGTTATCATATATAAATAGGATGTTCCTCGCAAAATACGCGACCGGTATTTCTGTAACAGGAAAATTCGACACCGTCTCAGATTACATACTGGATATCACGTCATACGACTTACGGAATTGCGTTTTCTCGTGTATTTGCGTATCTCGCTGGTGGAAAGTGGTTCTTATTATACATAGAATCTACATCGGATTATGTGATCACCACATATCCATATGGGGCTGCATTCGCGAGATCATGCTGTCTCCCTTTGCACAGAGAACATGGAAGCGAAATCCATGTTTGCGAATTTTTTTGATAAAGTGTGCCCGATAACTCCAGGTATATATATATTTTTTAATGCAATTTTGCTGTACGCTGAGATACACCGATTAAAACATGTTATTTTCCACGGAACACATCAGGATATTTAATTCAAAATTCTTGCGCCAGATGATTATCATTCGTGACACAGAGACAACAATGTCTGACGTAATCTTCGCGAAAGCCGGCAGAACACACGGTGCGTATCTATTCGCGGCCACGGCAAGATTTTTATGGAGTAAATTATATAAGCGCTACTCTTATTAGACTAGATTGTCACACACACGTATGTAAGACGCTGCGTTTGACGATTACATAGCTTCGTCATGGATGAACAATTCTTCGCGCGGGTGTGTTATTAAACGATTATCTTGGAAAGCAGGTCACGCATGGCAGTATAATTGGCTCATCACGAGCGGTAAATCGTCTCTTCGGCTATTAATTTTTGCGATCAGGTCGCTGGCTTCGGTTCAACTCGCCGGTGTCACGCACGAGATGTTTCTCCTCAGCCGGATGATTATCAAGTCAGCGAACTGATTCAGGTCGCCAATTAAAGAAGGTACGTACTCGCCGCTGGAGAAACTTATACATATGTATGCGGAGGGTTGCTCGAATCCATTTTTTGACGAACGCCAGCGAACATGAATTTACATACATTTCCGATGGAAATTGAGTTTTACGGTCGTCCATATCGCTTTCACGGGTCTTCGGACATGATTGCGAGATGTCTTGTCATGTAAGGATCATTTATCAGAGATTAAATTGAAATTGCGATTCTGCTAACTTTGACATATCATGACTTAACGTTTATACTTGACGATTGTTTTCTTTTTACTACCGTTTATTGGATTAATCATGACTTTAGTATTTTTCTCCTCCATCACGCACTGTTTTATTTATGAGAATAAATTATTTGCGAGGAATCCTAACGTATAATTGTACCGGTTTCATTTAAAAGTACTTTTGAGAATTACATTTACGTATGATGTATAATATTATCGTGTGAACAAAATCTCCACAAATAAAGAACGGATTTAAAAGATTAAGAAGGAAGATGTGATCGTTAATTGCGGCAAATAATAGCGAAAATAATTATATAAATTTTGAATTAGCGTTCATCTAAAAATGTAAAAAAAAGCGATTGCTATCTTTCGCTCTCAAGTTACTGGCTTAATTTCTTTCCAAATTAATAATATCTGCACGAATACAGCCTATGTGTAGTTTTAATAATTATCAACTCAATACGCTGACCTGAAATATGTAAATGAAACGCATTAGAGCTTGTTGAGAAAAAAATTAGTTCCGTCCTGTTAATATCCTGTTCTTTCAAAGTGCATTGAAAACAATGTTTCAACCTCCTAAGGTATGTTGTTACCGCACGTTATAAAACTGTCGTCATAAAATTACAAATGGATTTAGAATAATGTCTACAATGATAACAGACGACACCTTCGTACACGTGAATGAATAAAACAAAGTTTGTAACAAGTGCTTGTAACAGTTTGGTACTAATTGTAAGTGGCGTGTTTAATTCCCAAGACAAATTCATTTTCGTGTGACTACATTATATAATCAGCTGGTTGGCTTAAATGAAGGCACGAGAAGCAATCAAGCGGCTTAAAAATTTTCCGGTCTTGTACCAGCTAAGGCGAAATGGTTCTCTCTGCCGGCGGCTGTTAAAAATACCGGAGCGATTCTCGGAGGTAATTACGCACAATTTCTTCGAGCATAGCGACCACCGCTTTCTATTAAGCGAAGTATTCCGCGAGCGCGCGATTTATGGATTTATGCAAAAGAATTGTCGAGAGACGAATTTATGCAGATGCGCCGGTCGTCGAGGTCAGGTCGACTGGTTATAAATGACAGTTATGAAACACGCAGCCAGTCCGAAAAGAAAATTAAGCGTCGAAAGTTCGTCCTCTCGGGTAACGTCGCTTAGGTCTCTAACCTTTCGATTTTATAGTTTGCAAATATCAAGATATGCGCGTCATATATCACGTCGCGTCGTTTATCTCCGATTTACATAATAGAATCTGGATACGTTACAGATAACTAACAGCATTATATCGTATCGCACGTATTCACGAAACGCGCAATCGTCCCTTTCACCGCGCGAAGATTAGAAAGCACTTAATTACATACGAAATAATTATAGTCATTCGCACAGTGCGCTGACGCTTATGGTTATCATTATCTGTGGCCTAATTCCTTTTTTAACAGAATACGCTCATTTTTAATACTACGCTATAACTCGGTAACCACAATTAAGTTGTTCAATCAATCGCCGTTATAAGTCGCTTATATAAAAAAATTATCTAATATAAAGGAAACTTGCTGTTACAGTGCTGCAGCATCAATATCGATAATTAAACTGTTGAGAATCTTCTGGCACTCGTTGATTATCAAAACAAAGAATTGGATATTTCGAAAGGAGAAACGACGTACGTACATGACGCATTGCTGCATCATCATTCATTTAGGATTCTGCGTTCGATCTAAAAACAATAAGACGAGCGATACAAAGTCATTATATTCAACGGGCGCACTGCTTTCTGGTCGTTACGTGCTATTGTCCATCAGCAGCTACGAAGGCCAACGAACCTCGGACACCAGGACCTTTCTCCTGCGAGTCAAGGTACCTTTGTCCTACTTATAGCATACCTTAAGAGATTCGACGGCACCCCCTTTTTCTTTCAGCCGACGTTCAGATCCACTGGCCGACATTCATTGAATTTCCACTCCTGCATTTCCTGCTTCGGACTGTTGAACTCATGGGTACGTATCTTACGCTTTCTGCGTGAGCTTTTCATCTTAAAGTCTTATTTTATCGGAAGACTTAATGATTACAATGTCCACATAAACAAAAGGATAATTATTGACGATTAATATAAGAATTGACATAAGCAATAGAAATATTAATTATGTTACTATTGTTATCTTCAATTTTTTCTATTTATTTCTATATCGAGCATTTTTTGTTTGTAAATTATAGCATGTATTTATTCAATAAAACTCACGATTTTATCTTCGAATTTGAATTCAACGATACAATGGAGATAGAAGATTTCTCTTGTACGATCGAATGCAAAGAGTGTTGGTTGTAAGTCAATTCGTAAAATTGGCGGCTCGACAGGTGAAATTTGGTAAGCCGCAAAGCTAGAATCTCTTGGTGTTTTATCATTACGCTAATAACCCGCAGGGGTTCGATAACTCTACGAAGTACCGTTGGCGAAACCGGAAGTGGCGGTGAGTATTCAGTGTCAATGCCACGAAATTGCCCGGGACCTTCGCTACGGAACGGGAAGCACCCGGTATGTGAGAACCAGCGCTTCTTCGACAGACCTCGGTCGCCGTGAAATCGTAACCGGCGGTTCATTCGAGCAGGAAACCGGACGCGAGTGTACCTTTTTATATCCGCGATTCGGGCTTTTAAGCAGAGGTGGTTGAAGAAGAAAGCCGTGGGGAGTCATTAAGCTCACGCCAATTAGCCGTGCGCGGTTATCATCGTAAGTGTGCGATCGCTGTTGAGAAATGCAACAAAGACGCGAGTCCTATCTGCTCGAGGATCTAACCCGAACCCCCCCGAGATCCAATTAAACAAATCGACTCGTCAGATCGTACCGCCGGGCACCACGAAGAACTTGCCTGCTTAAGGAAGGGAAGATCGCTGCGCTTTACGAGCGCGCTCAAGGTTTATCCGCGAGTTAATTAAAGCCGAGGAATACGTGTTACGTAATTACGTACGCCGACTAGCGCCTTCCGGTTTACGGTGGAAACGCCGTCTGTTTTGTCACACATAATTGTCACGATCGATGCGGCGTGAAACGAGATTATCCGGTTCCAATGAAATTATAGTATAGTAGAGCGGTCGTCTGGGCCTGAGCTCGTTGAAAATTATACCGGTTTCAATCCCTGGCTCGGTCAGTCGCAAAATAACAGAGGTCATTACATGTGTAACGCATATACGTATACCACGAGATGATCCCACTTAAACCGGTCGTCTGACCTATACGTGACCAACTTTTTAAATTTCAGGTACATTTCTTTTTATTTTCTTTCTAAATTGCTTCATATTTACGCGTACGTATATACGCAACCAATCAAACTCGAAAAGGGACGAAACCGTCTTTCGGTCCTCAATTTTCAGTCACGAAGGCGACGCTCGATTACTCAATTTGCTTATACAACGCTTCGGTCGCGATGTACCGTTAGTCGATCGAGGTGAAAAAAAATGGAAAAATTTCTAACAGCGTACCGACCTTCAAACGGATCTCAAGAGCCCGGCGGACTTGGAAGTTGAAAGGTTTCACGTGAAAGTCAAGGCCAACCGGTTGCGTGTTGCACGTTTCATCTCGTATGGACAGATTTTATTATTATTATTATTATTTTTGCAATTTTACACGCGGGCGTTCGGTGAAAGCGAATCGTCGATCACTTTTGCGAAAATTACCCTGTCCGATTTCCTTTCTTGGATGAATATTAACACGATTATAAACGGTTCCGTCGAGCGATCGCACGAAGAAGCCCCGATTGATACACATTAAGAGAAATAGCATACAATCGTTTGTAATGATAGCGTAAATTATGCATGATTGATAATTTACAATTTCACTTCATCGTGGTTTCGTTTTCTTGAAAGTACAGAATTGTAGCAAAATAATTATATATTAGAAGAAATACGGGTGAAAGTAACGAAAAGTTATATTTTTCGAGAGAAAATATTTACTTTATAAAATGTCGTTAAACCGTTGCCCTAAAAGTTGCATGCATTAAAATATTCACGTTGCGGTAACACGGCTTTACTTCAATGAATTGTGCAAAGATTTAATCATAGATCTCTTGGACATCGTTGATCAATGTTGCTAGGTAAAATGAAAACTGGCCGTTTATAAAATTTGTATGAATATTTATTTCGGATGATAGCCAACTTATTGTGTCATTTAGCGAAATTAAGCTTTCTGTAAATGTTCGTGAATTGATAACCAGTAATTTTTCAAGAACATTTAAGACCGAAGAGATACGTACGAGAGTCGTAAAAAGAAAGAGTTTTAAACATCATCGAAAACTCCGCCTTGTATCTCCTTCAACTTGTTCTTGTAGATATACAAGCTGGTACCAAAGGCGGTATTGAGACCATGAAGAGCGCCGTTTTCCAGCTTCTGGAAGGGATTCGTGGATATATCCAAGATATAAAGACTTCCCAAATTTTTGCAAGCGCCCTTGCGAATCTCGGATATTTGATTTTCTGAAAGCCAGAGGCGCCTTAACCGGCTCAAGCCCTCGTAGCTGTCACCCTCGATGGTCGTCAAAGAGTTGTTGTTCAAATACAAATCCTTCAGGGTAGGCAGGTCGAAGGCACCACGCATTATGTTAGAGATTCTGTTTCCGGTCAAGGATAAGGTGGATGTCGGAGTTTGAACGAAATTGCCCTCTTCGAGAATGTCGATCTCATTATGATCGAGATGCAGGGAGTCCACGGATTGCGCTAGATCGGCAAATAAAGTGGCTTTGGCGATCTTGTTATTGGCGAGATTCAATTGCCTTAGACCTATCAGCTCAGCGAGGGTTCCCTTCTGCAGATCGCGTATAGAATTGTGGCGGAGATCGAGCGTCTGTAGCGTCGTCAAGCCTCTGAAGGCGCTCGGCCCGATCGTCCTTATACCATTCCCCGTTAACGATAGCGTCAGCAAAGATGTCAGACCTTGGAAGGCGTCGTTCTGCAACGCTTCGATTTTGTTGTCATCGAGATACAGATAGTTCAGACGGGAGAACTTGGAGAACGCGCCGTCGGGGATAGAGATTATATGATTTCCGTTCGCTAGAAGCACTGTCAGGGTGTTCGGCAGACTGTAGACAAAATTCAGGCTTTGCAACTGATTACCGGCTAGATACAATTCGTGCAGATTCGTCTTTGCTAGCGCGCCCTCCTCGATCTCCTCGATCAGATTGTTCCTCAAGTTAAGCACATTCAGGTGATCGTTCTCGATCACTTGACTCCAGATCCTGCGTATTTTGTTCCCTTGAAAGTTCACATACGTCAGACTTGACGGCAGATTGTTCAATGTCTCCCTCGTGATCTCAGCGATCTCATTGTTCGTCAGGTCCAGTGATGTAATCGGCAGAGATTGCAACCGATACCAGTCTTCCTGGAAAGCCTTAATACCCAGCTCGGCAAGATTCACTTGCATCGTGATATCGATTGGCACTTGCACGCATCCTTCAACGAGTTCCTCGTCCTTGGAAAAAATTTCCAGTGATATCACGACACCATCAGACCTGCAAATTTTCACTCGGGTACGCTCGCTAAAGGTTTCATCTGGAGGCTCCGTGATTATCGCAGCCTTGTCGACTTTCTGCTCCTTCTCTTCGCTCTCCTTTGCTAGATTTCCCTGTTCTTGCATCGCCGCCAGTCGCTTTATTTCCTCGGTCTCTTTAAGGAAGGAATTAGCGAACGCGCCCGTGCTGATGCTCCAGAGAATATTCCCGTCGGTGAGAATACGGACAGATTTGGTGAGGCCGAATAAGTGGCCTCTCCCGAAGTGTCTGACAGGGTTGTGAGAAATATCCAGCGACTGCAGATTCTCCAAGCCGACGAATAGGTTCCGGACATTCGATATTTGATTGTTTGACAACGACAAGCTCTTCAGTTTTGTCAGATTGGAGAAGACGAAGTCCGGCAGAGAAGTCAACGAATTGTTGGAAAGTACGATGGATTCTACGTCAAGTGCGTTGGCGAAGGCATTTTTCTCCAGTGCGTGAAGACCCGGAAAATTTGACAAATTCAATTGTTTCTGATCGGAATTTTCAGCGAATCGAACATGTTTCAAGGTGCCGTTGTCAATGTCCACGACGAAATTCTTCGAAGTATCCGCTCCACCGATTCTTCCAGCTTCTACAGACACGGCCGCCGCTAGAGGCAGCAAGCATATGATGAGGGACAGCATCGTCCTAAAAACAAAACTAATGGCTTTCTCTTCTACAAACCCTCGCGTTTCGATACATGAGATACAATGTCAGCAACTTATGTATTATATAAATTGAAAATGATGTATGTACGTATTATTAAAATTAATAATTTATAGTTGTAGCGGTAATTTACGGGCTCACAAAGAATAGACGAAGAATAACTCGAGTCTTGTCTTCATAATTTCATTTTCAAATGTTTTTATGTTATTTTCATAACAAGCGGAAGTGATAATTTCGCTGTGCGATAATTAAAAAAAAGAAGTGTAGTACTCGTTAAATATGTTATCTTAATTTTTATTAAGTTAATCACAGTGAGAAACCTCAGGACGTTGACTAGGATTCCACGCTGATAGCTGAAGAAAATTCTGCAGTAGACGCACCAAAGAATCCCACGCTTCGAGACTATTTTGCGACACTCCTTATGATAGTCGGCTCTCGCGTATATGGTCGTAATTACAACGATCCTGATAAACGACGCCTTAGATCATTCTCCGAAACTTATGTCGGATATTATAGAAACCGGTTGCGCAACTCAAAGTCGGGATGCACAAATTACATAATTTATAATATTTCCCGATAATTTCCGGAAGCACGTGCATTCCAATAGCATCGGTGAACAATCCTCGTCGCTTCGCAATTTCGCGAGAACGTTACAAATCCAAGATTCGAGTTACGAAGAATTCAAGTGAGAATTAAACTATCCGCATACTTTGTAAAGTGCATTTTAAACACAAAACCGTATTCGAAGTCCATTATAAGGGTAAAATTGTGTTTCAGATCTATTTCAGGTACAAGATTACAATATTTGTAGTAAAGTGACCTCTATATAAATGGCGAATACTCCGTTTTCACTCCAAACTCTTCACGCAACGGTCGTCGTCGTTCTTTTTTGTGGTTAATGCATCGTGGCAACTTCAGTTAACGTGAATCACGTCGTTACATTCACGTAAGAACATGTTCCACTTACCGATCAATCGGCTAAAGCCACAGAAAGCCGCGGAAGTTGCCGAGGATCCCTCCTGTCTTCGGACGCAGACAGACAAAGACTACCTGCGTTTCTATTCCTGGCGGACAACGCGTGGCGAGATTCCTCAGGACGAGGTAATCACGAAAACAGGTCTTGCAAGCCTTTATAGTCGAATCTCGTGCGTGTACAGATTCCTAGATGCGTATGTAAAAGACGGGCGCACTCGGTAGGCGATCTCTCGAAAAAGGAGGATAAATCCTTGTCTCGAGTCCTCGCCCACGGCGATTCGCTTTATAAGTCCGTCGACACCCGAGTTCTATGACGCATTCTGCCGCCGAGAAACGAGGAAGATGAATGGCACGAGCCGCGTGATCCTCCTCGAATTAAACCACTTCGTCACGCGTTAATCGACGTCCAGGAAACTAGACTTTTTGCTTAGGAAATTGGAGTTCGGTTCGACGAGTGGTCCAATTGTAGAATCGAACTCTAGCTCCTATTAGCACGCGCTACGAACATCCTTTTTTTTTATTTTAACCGTCTGTCGTTTTTATCAACATCCGGGAATACTTTTTGTTTTCAAATTGTGAAAGAACGCCGCGTTACGTCACTCGGGTAGACTTGATTATAACGTGATAAAAGACGTTAATCCTGTTTTCGAGCCAGAGTATTCAGACAAACAATTTAACGTGGAAATAAAGGTCGAGTTGCGCATTCATTAAATTTGATACGCTACATTTTGATGGCGATTTTATTCAAAACTCTTGTATAAATCAAAAAGCATTTGCTAATTGTATATTAATCAAGGGGAATTTTTTAAAAATCGACCAAACTTGCAAAAATGGTGTTTATTTTTGTCACGACGTTTCGACCCCTTTATCGGCTCCCTTTTAGGTACAATCTAAAGTTGACCGAACATTTTTATTTATATCGAAACAGAATGGGTTCATGAGTCTGTGGTAGTAAATTTCTAATATCATATGTCTCGGTAGTCAGTGGATTTATAATGATGTCAATTTCTAAAATTTCCAAGTAGCAACCGCGTACGTTTGCGCATCTTGAATAAAACTAGTTAAAAGGGATCGAAACGTCGTGACATTTCAATTACATACATTGTTGTATAAATACTGTGTTAAAAATCAATCTGAATAATACTGTAATCAGATATTATATACAATGTATGTATATACTGAGTTAATACATATTTACATATATTTCTTTATCTATTGTATATACATATACACATAATAATACAAGTCCCTTTCTCAAAAAGAGATATTAACAGCGCGAATGTCGTTAATATCAAACAGTTGATGCCTCTTTTCCACGATGCCGATTTTTCCCGAAGCGCGGTGTGCTTCACTTCTCTTTTAGATTCACAGTAAATGAAGATTTGCAGTTTAGAAATATACATTCGTATGCACTAACTATTGAGGTAAAATCTCTAATCTTAGTAATTAGAATTTAAGTAACAACGATTTTTGTTTCGAAACATTTTCTCGGTTAAACAGAATTGATCGTTAATTTAATCAATACCAATAAGTCCGCGGAATGATACGCAAAGCGTAGTAACAGTCACGGAACAAAGTAATGTAAACTATTAAGAACAGTATTTTCAATTCGTAGGCGGGACAAAAACTCTCAACGTTCGTTGTTGTTTTTCTATCGGCACGGTGTCGTACGACGTTACGCGGGCCATTGTTTACCCGAAGGTCGCCACGCTATCATTCGCTCGCCGAACGTCGAGCCGGCAAGCAGTGGCGAGAGTCGCTCCGTGCGTGATATTACTTTTACGTTATCGGTTTCCAAGACTCGATCGCGATGAATATAGGGATAAAACGCTATTGAATTGCACACCTTTATTAGTAACAAGTAACGTTCCTCTATTAATTATTAAGTTTCTACAACTTGTAATGAGAAACGAATTGTATGTTGAGGCGATCTAAAATATGAATGTAAACCGTGGTACTTTGTCGCGGTTACATCTCGTTTACGCACCGCGCTTTTAATTATCTATCGATTTCGTGTAATCTGTTCTGTAATTTTCGGGAAAAGAGACTTGTAATTCGCTCTGTCGTTCTTCGCAACTTGAACGGGCAGGATTATGCTTCCGATGCTCGCGTTGAGTTTCATATCGCCAATTCAAAAGTGATTTATCCATTATCCTATTCTTCCGAGTCAAATTCATCGCGTATTTCACATCACGCACGGGAGTGCCCGAAATTTCGCGCGATCGATGATTTTCGCGAGTGAGTGTTGTGTAAGTGCAACAAGGAAATCTGAGAGGTGGAGGAGGAGGCTTAGAAGGCATCGGGCAACAGCGGAGAAATCATGAGGTAAGTGTCTTACATTTTTAATATCCAATATATTAATTATGAAAATACAGCGTGTAATATCGAGACAAATATTGCAAATAACGATGGTAACCATATCGATTGTCCGGCGAGCATAATAAAATAAATCTTTTAAATATTTTGTACATATGTGCATGTTATCGAACGATATCTAACTCACATTTACGTTATATGTGATCGGCTAGGGACAAAGTTCGTATCTGCTTACGAATCCGAGTTAAATATACTCAGATACGATTAGATATATACATTTTTCCCCCGGGAAGGTATATTCGCGAGTACGGGATTTGAAACCGTAAAGGATAATGAAATATTGAAACACGCTGTTGCGTGCACATTTAATATTTCCTCCACGGACACGTTAGATAATATATTTATCTAACTCCAAGTGCGCGCATTTCCCTATACTTAAACACGGGTATACGACATTCCTCTCAAGATGAATGAAGGCTCCCGCGCACAAATTGCCACGTATCACGTGAGAGATTTAGTTTCCAGTGGAAACATTCTTGGAAATGCATCATACACGACTCGATGATGCTTGATAAAGGGGGCTTCTGTGCCACTCGATGGACCAAATACCATTAAACTGGCTACCGACTGATCCGGTATTTCGCGCGGACGCACATCGAGAGCTCAATGCCGCGCCGATCGAATCGGCGCGACCGGTTCGATCTTCCACGCACCGTGATTTCTCGCAACGCGAGACAAATTTTACCCGCTTAGGTCCGGTTTCACCGACGTTGTTTAACTTTAAGCTTAACTTAAATTCGTTCTTTGCCTCCTGCCAACTGTTACTTTAGAAAGAGCCAAATGAAACTACTTGTATAAGGTTAAAGTTAAGCGACGTTTGGTGAAACCGGACCTTAGCCGAACGCGGAGCTGCCTCGCCGCTAATTTCTAATGTTCGTGATCGGAGACGAAGAGAGGGTCGTTTCGCCTCTCGCGGCGCAAAGCAGGCCCCAGCCGCCAAGAGGTCGTCGTACTTCCGGAAACCGGCTCGTGCCTTCCGCTATGAGAACCACTGGATTCGCCGGATCATGGTTATTACGCGGGTATAAGAGCGCGGCCATTCGTACCGGCGGGTTCGCACTTCTCTCACGGTTCCATTCACAAAAAACTAGCCGATACAGCTCACGTGCGATCAGTTAATTAAGTTTGTTGCACACGTGTACGCACCGACAGTGTCGAAGGTTGAGGCGATATCTCGCATACGTTAGTCCGCTAGTGTAATGTGCCATCTCTCTTTTCCTCTCTATGAGCGATCACGCATTACATTTCTTTCCTGTTTGCCATTACTTGGAACTGCCTTCCCCGGGGGAAGGATTAGAGGAGTAGTAGTCGTTTCCGCAAGATTCGAATTCGGCCTTGAACTCGTCTTTAAAAAATTGCGCCGCCGTCGTTACAGTCACAGAAGAAAAAATGATAAACGCTTTTAGATATGCAAATAATAAACTTTACAATAAAGATTAACGGTCTTAAAATATGTACCAAAAAAATTGCACGTGTATGTGTAAAACTTAATTTTACTGTGCTACATCTTTTCTAAGCCTTTCTTTTATCTATAATTTTAATTTTCTTTCACGCGTTTTTCGGCATCGTCCGCCATATATTCTCTGTGTGCCAAGGTTTGTCACATCGTTTGTAAATATTATTCCGTCTAAATGTCGAATCACGTAACGATAAAGCTTACAAATTATAGCGGATATAAAGAAAAGATAATTTCTGAACACCAGGTTCCCAACGTTCACTATCTGGCGCGGAATCGCGACGATTACGTGCTATTTCCAACTTACTCTTACAAGAAAAAACATGGCTCTTCATTCTCGGAATTAATATTTCACGGATCACGAGACCTACAGGTGTCAGCGTACTATCCTCGCACAAATTGCCAAGTACTAATTAACCACATGCAAATTTATGTTAAGTCGTCTCGAGATGAATAAATTAGGTAAAGTGAATAATGTGTCCGATAAAAAGAGGGTAGGAAGAATTCTTCCCCCGGCTCGGGATCCGTTACAATTGTGTCAAATAATTAATGACCTTGGCCGTGCTGTGGCTGGCTGCGTAGGCTCCAGGGTACAGTAATTAAATTCATAAAGACAAATCTTCTCGATCTTATATTAAGTGACAGTTTTAGATAACAAAACTGTTCCCGTTCTCTTCCGTAACAATTTTACTACAGCGCGTAAGTCCCACAATACGTTGCGCAATAAGATTTTCCTTCGGCGAGTAGTGAAATCTCTCTCCACAAATAAAAAAGAAACTTAAGATTTGAAAAACACAATGAATGAAACGTACAAAGATGTGAAGAGTCAATCTTCCCTTTCACGATTCTTTATCTCAAGACCTGAGAACTCTAAGGTTGCGTACAACATTTCCTGGCAAACAATTATCGGTCGAATAGTAATTATGCGTGAGGCGCCAAGTCATAATACCTAATTGAATTGTACGCAACGACGTACAATTGAACCCAAGTAATAATATCATACATGCGAATGCCGGCCTTGCATTGTTGCCTAGGTACGCAGCGATGTAAAGGAACAGCGTGCCATTGTCTCGAGAATTTCTTTGATGGCAATCTCATTCGATATTGATGTGGCCATGCTAATCGCTCGAATACGAAATTCTATGCAGTTTCTAAGTGTTCTAACTCCCATCCTGCCATTGTGGTATATTGAAAACGGGAAATCGGGTGGGAGCTCAAAGGTGTTGAGCATTTTAAGTATGAGTTTGCAGTTTCATTTTTTGTTTTATTGTTAGACATCATTTTCATGTTTCCGTTATTCATTGGTTTAACTTCAGGGATTTTCTAAAAAGTTTCTCCGTCGAAAGAGTATAATATCTAGTTAATGTCTTTTCACTTTAAATAAAATCAAAATAAGATGCTAAATATTCTTTCAGTCTTACTTTTTGAATCAAATTATTTAGAAAAATTTATATTTGCTAGCAAGGGCAATAAATTATCATAAAGTTTTTTTTGCGCGAAAAAATAAGCAGCATTTACTTTCTTCAATTAAACAATTTGTATTTGTATATTTTTTGACAAAATTAAAGCCACTATTAAATACAATCGAAGCATTTATTTAAAAATAAAACAAAATACCACCGACACAAATTTTGAAGATTATTAGCTGTAAAAAATATATGCTATCAAATAATTGTACGATAACTTTCGATTATTTTATTTTTGTACCAACAGAATTAATGTAGCATCACTTTAATAATCTCTGTATATCTGTACTCAATCCTAGATTATATTTATATTTAAAAAAAAGTGTTAATTAAGGGAAAATGCAAAATATGATATAATTCTGTAATAACTTTAATAGTAAAGAGTAAGCAAATAATTCTTATAAAGCAAAATATGTGTGACATTATACTAAGTATTGTAATTTCACTTATTTTTAAATTAACCATTTAGCTTTCTGCTACCTAACATTTTCGGATATTTATTCTAAGTATCTTGTAACATTGTACATTTATCATGCTACACGCAACGCGCTTATCGTTGAGGATATCGAAGATGAGAGGAGAAATGGACTACGTGCGCGTGCGGCAACATGCATTTTCTTGCTACAAGCTCTTAGGGTTTCAAGTGTAAATATTACGAAACAAATTACATGTCTCACATTCTGCATATTCATATACATGTGTCGTCTGCAAAAGCGCGATTCTGTTCGCATTATAAAGAACTTGTTGAACTTCTATTTTTAAGAATTATCAATATCACAATTTTTGGAAATTTCTTTTGGTGGCGTATTAAAAAAAATTTTTTTTTAATTACGTGCAATCTCCCGGCTAGAGTTTAATTCACCGGAAGAAGATCTGTGTTTATAATTTTTCTAAGGAACATTCTTATCTTTCTCATCTTCCCAAAATTTACTAATCAAAAATCAGCGCTGTTCGATGTATACATTAGCATCTTATGAAGTCCTCGATCATTAAATTATTGGCTTTAATAGAATGCGCGCAGCCTGTGTTACTTTCATGAGAATTTCTATCCGATCGCGATGGCTAATAAATGCGGCAGCGAGCACTAAATCATCGCTCGGAAGAGTGCGTGTCTTATTAAATGTAGCTAATGCGCGTGATATATGTGTAGCGATAGGAAATTCATTTTATTGACTCGTTTAAAACTGTTATGATAAATTTGACTGCGACCATCTGGAAACTTACGCGGCTGCACTTAAATTTCTTCCGCTTCGGAATGTCATTACCTCAAAATTATTCCGGCATTACGCTGTGCCTTCGTACGAGTAGTAGTTAATAAACATTAGCTGTTAGTGGCTAATGTTTATTAATAAATTTCTACACGAAGGAAAAACGCTCAATAATTATTACTAGTTCTAACGTTTCACGTGGTTCCAAATATCTCACGCGAATTACTCAAGATTAATATATAAGATTAAATCAGGTAATATGAGTGTGTTGCACCCTGTTTCAAAAAATTATATTTAAATTATTATTTAAAAATTATCTTAAGTCGTGTTTTACAGAGAATTTTTTCTTAAAATTTATCCTGAAAATTATGTAATCGTGGAACAATACGGCATTTCGAAGAACTTTATGAGAGTTCTTTGAACTTTTACTAGTAAAATGTATGAAAAATTTTCAGAAAACTCATAAAGTTCGTCAAAATGCCATGTTGTCCCACGATTACACGATTTTAAAAGAAAATTCTCTCCGTGTCCATTGGATTATTTCATTCGCATCTATTATGCATATTCGAGAGAAACACTTGCAAAATAATTTAAGATTTTTGTTTGTACAAGGGCGAGTCTATTTAAAATTACAGCGAAAAGACGCAAAAGAAGTGACAGAGAAGAGCTCGTGGCTTTATTTGTCCCGAGGACAACTGAATGTGAATTTAAAATTTAAAGCTGGCTATTTAAACCTATCTTGGTCATGCCTTATGCAGTCTCTTGCGCGAATCCGAAGATATTTACATACGCATATAGAATGCGAGCGTTTGGTGCAACATTACGCACACTTGTGTCGAAAAGAGGGCACCAGCACGCATCAGCCCGGTCACCTTAATTTACTCCCGAAAACGAACGTCTCTTCCCTTCACCGTGCAGCCGAGTGGAAGCGTAGTGGAAGCGGCCCCGGAACAGCGGGGGCCCGGTGGGATAGCACGGCGAATGTGGAGTAGAATCGCGGCATTACGTGCCACCGAGTAACGGAGCGCGGACGCGGAATAGAGCGTATCGCGTGTCGTCTTCGTGTTTCCCGTCCACGCGGTACCGAGGCACCGAATCGGCCAAGAAAAGCGGCAGTCGCGTGTCGACCAGCGGACAGGTCGGTGCAGAAGCGAGCGGATGCGCCTCTCTGTTCTCCACCGCGTAACTCCCGCGAGCGCGGCCGCACGTTTGCCGGAAGACCGATGACTGAAAAGATCCGCGGTGACTGTGGCCGCGCGCGCGTTTCGACACCCGGAACCCGTACGAACTTCCGACCCGGCGCCGCCGTCGATTCCAACGAGATTGCATCGGCCACGATGTCGCAAAGCTGCTCCGGCGGCGCGCGCGCTCGCTGAGGAAGACCGATCGGCGAGCCGATCGAGGATGTTGACCTGGTAGCGGGTGTTGATCGACGGGAAAATCGCTCGCTTGTGGGAATCCAACGGTCTACGTTTACAGCTGTCGGCGAACGTTAACGTTCGATCGATAGATCTTTTTGTCGATCGTCGTCGTCGTCGTCATTCAGCAGTGGTTAAGTGAATGGACTTTATGAGTGAGCGTTGTCGTAGCTCGGCAGCATCGGCCGGAAGACACGAGTGCCCGGCGACGGCAGATCGTCCTCCAATGGATCGCACGTGACCACCGCGATCTCGTGGGATATCGAGTCCGATTGCCCTCCGAGAGGGACGTCTTCCCGTGGAAGAGGCCAGATTTCGAAAGGCGCGGCAGGATGCCGAAGGAGAACATGTGGCGGCAGAGGAGAGTGCCCGTTCCCAAGAGGTAAGGAGGCTATCTCGGGACGCGATTAACCGCGGCGTTAAAGGCGCCTAATTACGCGCGTGCGATTAACATCTTCTACGATGTCATCAATATTTATCTGCGCGTAGAGCATGAGAGTGCACGAAGGGATACCGTATCTCGCCGGTGTATTTCCTCTATAACGAGCCGAGGTATTTAACCGTTAAGCACGCTGGTGACTCAATCTTGGCCAACGATCATCCACCTTCTCGCCGGATCAGGCTGTTACCATGACTTTGTCCTTCTTTTCGTGAGACGCGATTTTCAACATTGCATTGGGCCATGTAAAAATATTCAAAATGGACAAGATATTACCTGTCTGTTTTCCAATTCGTTACGCAGAGAGAACTTTCTCTTAAAATTTATCCTGCAAATCATATAAACGTGGGGGCAACATGGCGTTTCCAATATTTTTATAAGACTTTTTTTTCCAGGGTAAATTTTCGAAGAAAATTCTCTCCGTGTAAGAAAAACACAAGCTTCTTTAACAAGAAATAGTCTGCTTTTCGGTTTGATTTATGAATTTGCCGGCACTATCTCTTAAATCGTTCATTTTTATCTCGAAAGATGGGACACCGTTAACGAATAAAATGGAAAAGAAAGTCGGAATATAAAATGGGACATAAATTTCAGGTGGCAAATTGTGTGATTTTGATTTCTTTCAAGAGACACAATTCCACATATGCGACGATCGTATAATTTATGCACGTATCTCTGAATGCATATAAAATTCAGTTATAAGCATAATAAACTTTATCGCTGTAGAAAGCAAATGGCTATTTTTACGAATCGCATTCGTAACGAATATTTCACATTCCTTCTCCTCTATGTATTATAATATGGAATACAATTACACCATTATCATTATTCATTCACCTAATTTACATACGCTGGCCATGATGCACGTAGCGCAATGCAGAGCATTTTACTGTCGTAATCTAATTTTAGCATAAACTTTTACTTAATGCTATTCTTTTTAAACATTATATGAGACATAAATTTGCAGACATTCTCTTCAAACATGAAACTAGTATAAAATAACTTCATTTGCGTTTCTCTTAGAAGTACAGCAAGAAATATTTTTAGAAAAAGAATTGATCCCGGATCGGGGAAAAAATGTCGATAACTTTCCGGCCGTATACTCGCCAATAACGGACTATCCTAGATACCTCACGCTGCATGTTATAAAAAATGCGAGAAAGTTGGCGACAGCGAGAGAAATACTTAATTCCAGCGCTCGGATGTTCTTTTATCAGTCGTGTGCGAATTGGCGACGCGATGGACGGTCACGGCGCAAGTGATTTTACGTAAAGTTTCCCGTTTCGCCTCATGAATATGTCATTACTTCCCTCGCATAGATATAAAGTTAACGGCGCAAAGGGAATAGCGCCGAACATCGCGTTCAGACGCCACGTCGCCGGGATCAGGGTCGAGGTAACAAGTTAAAGGTCTCGTGACCAGGGTGACTCTCGCGATGAGCTAGGCATGTGACAAATCGATTCATCATGGCAGAATAATGCGAACCGCGCGGGAGAATCGTGAGTGGTCGATTCCCGGGTGCTCCATGTCCCATGCAAATGCGCGGTTTGTCGGCCTGCGATTTCTTCCCGCGATTGACCCCCTCGAGCGCGCGTAAAGCCATAAGTCACACAAACGAAGTTGGTGGTCCACATTGTGCACGTTGTAGAATGCGGTAAATAGGACTCCTCCGCAGCTCCGGTGGGCCTAGAAGTGACACTTGGCGCTCACCGCGTTTCAACTTTGCATCAAATGACTCCGCGATTAAGAACTTAATTAAACGGCCGCGAGGACTTGTGAGTCTTCTTCTTCCGGTGCGCGGACCATTAATGGAGATTTGCGACCACATTTTCCATTTCTCGTTTATTCCTCGTTGTGTGCATTAAATCTCCCACACTCCTAATTCCAGACCAGTGTTTGATGCTGCGCAGCCATGACATCTCTTGCCCTCTATTTTGCCTTCGTTAATCAACTGCAAAAGTTGATACTTTGCGTCACGCATGATGTGCCCCAGATACGCAGTCTTCCTTCTCTTCATCGTCCTCAACAGTTCGCGGTCTCTCCCTGCTCTCCTTAGAACCTCTGTGTTAGTCATTTTCGCTGTCCACGATATTTTTAGGATCCTGCGATATGTCCACACCGACCAAACATTGCATTTAATAAATCTAATCCTAAGGTTTAGATCAAAGTCTGTGCTCGTAAGCGCAGTCCACAGAAAAAAATTTCCGGATCCAATGCTATTACACTTCGATGTATCATAAAATAGGATCGATATAGCGCCAATCATATTTATTATAGAGAAAGGAGTATTTTAATCTTCAATGAAAAATTCTAAAATCTAGAATAAAATGATAGTACGTATCGTCCTTTGTCGAATTTCGTGCGTTGTAAGAAGGAGGGAAAATTTATTCCAAATTATTCCAAGAATAGATAAACTTACATTTACATAAGTTACTTGTTTCAACTCTTGTCTCAATAGTAAGTCAGCCAATCTATTTTAATTCGATAGAGGAGAATAAGAATTATTGATTTTATTTTGATATTGTCTTTTTTTTATACTAAATGAGGTTGTGAAAAATATAAATGCGTCAAGAATTGTTTATCTCAGTAACAGAAATCCTTTCTGAGGGTATGCCTTGCTAAATTTTGCAAACGCTTGGACTTGGAATTAGATAAATAGATTTGAAGTTGCAAATGGAGCAGTGAGATTAATTACAAAGTCCTTACTTTGGTATTATTTTGGGTCATATGACTAATAGCGAATCTAATTGCTTGCACTAGTGCGCACTGAGTGCACACTAAGGTCTGTTTATAGTCAACTTTTATGTTTAACTTTGTCTTAAGTACACGTTCAAAGAATATTTAGCCAAAAAATGATCCGTATAGATGCTGTACAGATCATTTTACTGGGCGAGAAATATTTCAAGAGATATTTAAGACGATCCTTAAATATATGAAGTGACTGTAAACAAGCCCTAGTGTGCACTCAGACCGAATGCGCTGTAAATCTTTGATTAAAGAATCCTTTACTAATTTTCACCAAAATTCATCGAAAAAGAAATACATCCGATTACCTGATAGACGTTAAAGTTCTTCCAATTTTCTGTAAATGTTTATTCAAAGCGATCGACGAGATTTGTTAAGATAATTAAAAAAGTTGGGTCCTAAAGTGTACATTTTGCGATCTACACTAGGAATTATCATGCACCGCGCGATAAACACCGTCGTTTCACATCCCCCATCTATCTCACGTTAATACAGTTGATAATTACGAATTCTGCTACGTGAGTGATGAACCGTCGTGACGTTTGCAAGAATGCAGGTCCATTTGTCTCGTTTCTGCGGCTCGTCCCGCGTGATGAATTTTGCTGCCCGAGCGAGAAAACCGCGCGCACTCGCGATAATGAATCTTCGCCGTCAATAAATAAAAGTGATGAGGCCCGTTGCGTAAATGAGGCGAGCAACAAGTATCGAAGGGCGAGATCGCGGGGAGGTGTCATTGCCGTAAAACGGAGCGGGGGCTCCCGGTTGGTATCAGAACCATCATTATCGGCCACTTCTCTCGCCGCGCGGAATCCCGTCCGCTATACGCACTTCCGACTTGTTCGCGACGATATCAGGCGTTCAGGCCGCGAACGCACTTCTGCGGGTACAACGCAATTAAGAGTGACTGCGATAATGCGCATTAAGTGGCCGTATGGAAAATTGCCCACCATTCGAGGGTATTTCCATTATGGAGAAACAACTTCCCCCCCCCTCGGTATCAGCAGATAGATAGCCAGCTGTATGTCAAGCGTAAAATCTGATTTAATAAAGTATGCATAATGTCAGAGGGCATGTCTGCTTAAGTGTGTAAAAAGTCGCGAATTAACATGGGTCGGACGTGCGTGCGCGTATAATTTCTTGCCTGTTAACTCGGACTGTATGTGCAGATGCGTTTTTCAGCGCACCGGAGAGGAGAATCTGCGTTTGAAAGATATCATAGCTGATCGAGACATCCGGCGCGTATTTACCAACAAAAGCAGCGGAGAACTCGTCCAACTGGATTGAGATACCGCGCGCGACGTAAATTAAAAATTTAATTGAAAACTCAGACATAAATGGAACAACGTTCGCTCCGCGTGGATGTTTAACTGTTTCTACGTCATTAAGCGCGGTAACGGCGAGGAAAAAGAAATGGAGGAATTAACAACAAAGTTGTTGCAAATGTATAAAATAATCTGATACAGATTGAATAAACGTCCCGAGAACTTACCGAGTACACGAGTACATTTCGCGGGGCTTTATTGGAATACGGCTTCGGCCGTAGCGGCCGCAATAATTTATCATATACGCGCGCTCGTTAAAGTCAATTGTGGTCGTTGTATTGCAACGAGCAGCATTGTCGGCGGTGCATCGACCGCGATCAAAAGTTGCATTGCAATTTCAGCACGAATCTCCGCGCTGCCTCGCGGCTTTGTTGCGTCTGCCAATGTTACCACGATCCATTACGAAAGATTAAAACAAAACGCAGGATCATCCCTCTCCCATAATCGTAAACATTTTCTACGACGTATCGGAATGTAAGATCAGGCCTGAGAAAAGCGCGTATTTGAGAAATTTAATGAAATTAACAGTACAATCGACAGAAATTTGCACACGTCTGAGCGCGCCGAGCGCCTCGAGCGCCTTTTATTTCCTCCTTGGCGTTTCTCATGGACGCTAGAATGATGATCTTAAAAAGTAATAATTGTTTCCCGCAATTATACTTGAAATCTAACGCAATGCGATACACGGTATATACAGATAACAAAATGCCGATGGAAGCAGTGTATTTAAGAAAAAGAAATTGTCTTCTTCCTTTTTCTTTAACGAAGCACATTTCCTTGAGATAATTAGAAGAATATCGCGGCAGTTTATCACTTGTTTATCAGCTCGCTTACGATCTGGGATTTTATGAATTGGGCCACAATAGTATCGGAGACGATCTGACCCGCAGACCTCTTTAACCAACGACACATACTCGCGCATTGGAATAGAAATTGCTGACGCCGGCAACATTCTTGCCATCGGTTCTCGATGGCACTATTTCGCGAATCGAATACCTGCACGCGACGTTCTCACCGCGCGGGACAATCGGATTTCCAGATACGCGTTCGCCATTATGTACACGATGGCGTATGTACACGCTGTGCCCCTGTATGTACCCCGTTACGGTATATATAAAACGCGTTCCTAAGAGCTTACGGTTCCCTTCTCTCCGTGTGTCGTTGACACTGCCGTCCGCCAGAACGATACCGTTCGTTTCTCGCTTTTCCCCCGAGTAGATCTGCTTACGTTTCGCCGATAAGCCCGGAAGAGCCGCGATGGAACGTCCTTGCATATCCTCGAGGAAACTAGCGGCATCGGCGCGACGAATTACGGTGAAGGATAGTGATTTGCGCGTACATACGAACGGCCGCAATCAAATTATAGATAATTTCTCAAATTATAGACATTCGCGTAACTCACACGTGAAAAAATTTTATACTCGTATATGAATAATCTCCCATTTCGTTTCTTAAGAGAAGCACTGGGGGGACTCTACAAGACGCTACGGAACATTAATATTGGAATCTCGGAGTGTCTTAATTTAGAATTTTATGTGCACGATACCTAAAAATAGATACGAATAATGTGTATGTACAATATCACTTGGTTCTTATTTAATTTTACGACACTAGCATATCGCGTAAGTCCAGTTAAAAAGAGATCAAAATGAATCTACAAGTATACAATGTTTTATAAGAGCGATAAAAGTCTATATTTTAATTTCTTTATGTCTTCCTTCCGTATCTCATTTTTCAAGTTACAATCCGATCCTATCAGACCGCCGAGAACTCTGATCACCATTGTATTTTAATGCAGCCGATAAAGATCGGCGCGTCGCATTTGTTTCGGAAAAATTTCGGGGCTTTTCCCACGATGTATTCGACTTCCCGCACGGTTAACGTCTAGCATTGCTTAACGAGGCGTTAGTAGACCGTAAAGCCATTAATTCTTTTTGTGCTTAATTACAATGTCGTTTAAAACTCGAAACCTTGATATTCCAATATCGCGTGTTTATATATAAAATATTAGCACAAAGGAACCAAATCAATTTTGCAGATTTATAAACATACCTTAACCGCAAGTATACGGCTGGCATATATTGTGCATATATCATTCGAAGGAAACCGCACATCTATTATTCAAAGGGTATTAGATTTCCATTGAGCATTTAAACAAGAGGTCGACAACCTTCTTTAACATTTGCGAATTGTATTTGACTTTAAGTTTCAATAGAGTGCTTGCAGGATATGAAAGGATCGTGCAAGGACAGAAGCAAAGTAGGCATAATGATAGCGTGGTTAAGTCACGCGTAAAATCTCTAAGAAGCTGAAGAAGACGTTGACGAATGCAGCGTGAACAACACGAAATTGTCAGGATGCATAATTATATCATTAAATATAAATTACGAAATTTCTTTCTTGTCTCCGACAAGGTTTTTATACAAGATTATAATCTTTCCTCTAGAAACTCTAGAATTTTGTCGTTCTGGTGTTTTAACTGTTTCTCGAAATTACAAATATTTGTTTTTTTTCCCTAGAGAATTCGATTTCTACGAGCTAACAACAGAACTAAACGGCCGTTCAATGACAGTGTAATCATCTTTCAAACTGTAATTATTCGCGGAATTGAATCACAATGCGAAATATAAGAATAGGACATCGACACTAAAAGTGCAATCTCAAATGCGAGAACGTACAATACACTCTGCTTAATTATTTCACATAAAGTATGCAAAGTGTATATAATAATAAGGAAAATTAATTTTTTCTCTCTCTTTTAGTTGTAACCTTAACCATTTTATAACTTCAGTGTTTTCTTGACCATGTCTAGCATTTTTAATAATACAGAAAATTTATTGCGAAAAATATTACCTCAGCCAGGGACAACTGAGGCATGTAACGTCAGATTGTTGAGACGCCCGCCTAGAGTGTAGGGAAGTCCAAGTTCAAATTCTGACCGAGGATAATATTTTTCACAATAAATTTTCTGTATTATTAAAAATGCCAGACATGGTCAAGAAAACGCTGAAGTAGTTAATTACTGCCGGCGACTTGAAGAATATTCTTATTAGTTAACCATTTTATGTTCATAACTAATTTTAATAATTTACTCGTAAATGATAAAAGATTGACAATATCTTATGTGCACAGTGGCGGACAGTTGCGATACTTTGTTTTTTAATGAGTTTAAGAACGCGCGTTTGGATTCAGATTTACGTACCGAAACATTTTCTCCGAGGAAAATTTTACTCGAGAAATAGATCGAAAACGCTCAGAATGGTTTCGCAATCGAGTAAAGTATTCCTCGGAGAAGATTTCAGAACGTAACTCTGAATCTCTAAACTCGCACATTCCTAAACTCGTTAAAAAGGAAAAGTGTCGCAACATTCAGTTGTTTCCCAGGCGACGATTGTAAAATGTACCTATTCGAAATGAGAATTAAATGGTACACGCAGCTACAGCTGTTATGTAGATAGTTGCAGCACATCTGTATCAAATTGCAGAATTTGCAACGTGCGCTCGAAGCTAAAGTTGTATGTGGGACAATTGCATAGAGCTCTTAATGCGGTCGCGTGAGATCGGGCGAAGTACCACACTCGAATCGGAGATTACATAGCGACACGTTCACGGATTATAATGGGACGAAACGTCGAGACAATTAGCACGGATTTGATTCTTGTTTAATCGCGGCTCCTGGTACGAGGTTAATCGCTAATGAACGACGCGAGGAAAATCAATTATTTCTTGCCGCCCGTGCCTCCTTTGCCGGGTCGAGGATTACCGATAATAAAGGCGCCTCGCGATTTACTATGCATTGCATCGCGCAATCTTGGGACTCGTAATCGTGGAAGGAATCGATTACAATAGTCTCGCGTGCGCCGCCTGTATCGCGTTAATGCAACGTTTATTGCATTATTTATGATATACCGTACGAATAACTACTGCTATCACGGGGCGATTCGCGATGCCGTTGCTATTGCCCGCGTGTATTACACAGCTCGTTAAATGGAAGGGCTCGAGGGCAATAACGCGCTAAGAAAAGCCGTAAGCTAATAACCGTGTTGCGGTACTTTCCTTCAAAGCCTTTTTACGTTTTGCGATTAATTGGCAATATTTTTAAAAGACAAGATTCGAAAGATCTCGCGGGAGATCTCACATTTCTCCGAGATTAAGATTCTTGAAGATACGCGCTTTTCCCCTGAACGGGATAATCGTCGGGTCTGCGAAAAGTAAGAATTCTCCATGACTTTTCCTCACGCAATTTAGCATATCATCGTTTTGATCTCTTCAATTTATCGCATATGTGCGAATGTGCGAGGTATGCGCGAACGTATGCACGGGTTTGCACCTGTTGCGTCGACCCCCGCGAAATTGAAGCGACCGTCAAGCTTCACGGTCGATGAATATTCGCCGAGAACCAGGTCATACGGAGAAACATCATCTCCCAGACGGGACGACCAATTACGAGATGGATGGCTTCGCCGTGCCCTGATTCCCTCACTGCCAACCTAGATGACGATCAGCTAGTAATGTTTAACTTGCGAAAGGGCTTCTCGGCGTCGCAATTTCGCTCCGCCGCAGCCACTGCAAATTAAATTCTTTGTTTACGAATCGAGTAGATACTTGTCGCATAAATAATAGGAACAGCACCCGGCAAGCTGAGAAAAATTATTAGACTAATGCTGAACGAACGAGCACTACTAACTAAATTAATATAATGTATTCGAATAATTAGAATTCAACGCCGTGAATTAATCCACTAATTTTTTGCTTACAGGACGATCGAGCTGATCGCTTTAATAGCGATATCCAGTACACTTTTTCTCTTTCTTCACACGAGAGATCTGCATTCGCGTCTGAAAAAAATGGAAGTACGTCTTCAACCGGGGGAAGATGACGTGCTCTCGGCAAATCAGCTCTCATCAGGTAACAACTGTTGTAATGTCTAATAAAATTGAAACAAGTACGCGATAACTCTCTGTACACAGAAGTAAGAAATAGAACGACATGCCTGCGAAAACTAAAGATTAAGTAAACACAAAATGGATAAAAAGATAAAAGCTGAATTCTGCCGAGCATGCGTGTAAACGTTTCAAGAAATACTGTAATTATCCCGTTGAAATGATAAATAATAAATCAAATTGCCCGTAAATAAATAATCGTAAAAAGTGACATCGCGAGAAATTTATTTTGCCCTTTTTTAATGCGATGACAAGATTGGAGACCGTTAGAAATGTTAATTGGAAGGAACTAATTATCTGTTTAATTACACAAACGTGCGATAATGGGCTAGTTTCTCGTCGCCTGAAAATGGACTACATTGAAATTACACTCGTGTCGGCCGGCGCGGCATAATAGACACGTTTATACATGCGCTTTTACGTGCTCGTACATACTCCCCGAGGGTGCTGTTGACTTCCCGGTTGAGGAAGGTCAAGGTGTGAGAGAGTGAACGCGCATAGGATTCAAGGAGAGTTAAAGATGTTCGTGCATCTCGCTCGCAGAACGCACGTACATCGGCTCATCGTTAGTACCTGGACATTTCTCATAGCTTTACATTGTTTAATTCCAATTTTGGAACAGTGTACGAGCCCAATGAAAAAGTGTGATTTTTTCGCTCAAATTTTTTTCAACTTTCATCTTATTTCACCAAGCGCATTCATATGTTATATTTTTCGAAACAAAACATTTCTTCCGTTAACTAAAAATGCAGAGCTTATAGTCGAGCAGACTGGCAAGATTTCAATAGTTTATCTTACAAATAACCAATAGGTCTGCATTTTTTATTTAGCTTTACTACTGGTGACTATAAGAACACTCGAGCTCTTCCGTTAACATTTCGACAAGCAAATTTAACCCGAACAGAACATGAAACTCACAGTAACATCTTACTTGTTATTTATTTATTACTTATAAATAATGTCATTTTAAGTTTCATGTCCTGCCTGTGTTTAAACTACGATAGAAAAATAGTTTTAAAAAAGTTAACGTCAAAGGAACTGTTTCGTCTTCAGTTCCTCCCAAATGCGTATGTGTGCACGGACATTAAGAGAAGCGAGATCTCTATCGCTTCAATACCATACTACACCCATTTCACGGGATTCGTAACGGTAGCAAGGAACTTCATTCGCTCGGCAATCGTAGACTAATTATTCGTGTACCTTCTATCGGTCGCTTTACACGCGGTAATCCGCGTCTTTGCCGCACCGTATTATTTATTACGTTACGGCTTGCAATTAGGTCCGGCGCCGCTTTATTATTTAAAGCGGTGCAGGCACGCTGTCTCAAAGCGAACGTGGATCGTGCACGTTCACCAGATCAAGGGTGCAAAACACCCGCGGATTATTCCCGGTATTTGGCTTCTTGCAAATTCAACGATTACTTATATGATACGAGTACGATTACTGTGCGTCAGTGTATCATTATACAAATGGAGTTGCGCGATTACTTCCTTACCTTCGTCGCAGACATTTGTCGAACGTGTAACCAACGGTGACTTTTTATTTACATTTTGTTTAACATTCAACTGATTTAAACAAATTCGTTTTTTATTTCCCGAAATCTAAGAGCATTCTCTTTGGGGAGAAAACGTTTCAATTTTACCAACATAAATTTTACGCATATAAAAGATCAGTTTTGGTATCGCATACAATTACCAACGGAATGCTCGTGAATACTCTTGCAAAATCGTGCGAAAAGGCCTTCACTTTCAACGACGCCCCTGCATGTGAGTTAAAAATATTATTCATGGCCTACATGGCAATCTTCACAGAAGCTTATATCTCCTCAGAACACAATGATTAACATTGTATTATTATGAACGCGGCTCACAATTATTATAATAACTAGTCGCATTACTTTCTACTAGAAATTTCACAACTGAAAGAGTAAACAGTCTTTCGTTTTTGTTAAGCGAAAGTCGTGTGTTCGAACGAACCACGCGCATTTGTGTGTTATGCGATCGGAAGGAGAAATATTTTATTCCCGCGACAACGAGACTTTGATAAAAAGACCATAGTAAACAAAAGCGATGGAAAATATAACATAATAATCATATTCCAGAACCATATCCGTAATTATTAAATTTTCGCGAAATAAATGGCCAAATATCAGCGAATATGCACAGTATAAATTGTGGGCAAATTCTTTAACAAAGATCACAAGGACATGAAAAATATTTTCGTATATATTCGTATATTAAACCTATTTTTGTGTGTGTTTTTTTGTGATCTTTGCCTAAAATTGTCATAAATGGCTATATATAAATTTACATGTACGATCTGCAATAAAGTATTTAACAAACAAGATCTCAAACAGTGTTTAAACGAACGTACGGAAAGCATATCGAAATGATTTTGCCCTCAAAAACTATCAAGTCAATTACGATGATCGTAAGTCGGCACTGATCGCCGAGCGGCACGAAGCGCGTGAAATCCGTGCGATACTCTTAAAAGCCGTTCACCAGTAGAGAGGAAGAGGCAACCGGGTATACGTGGAGGATAAAGGATGCTCCCCGGAGGCGGAATTGACCGAGCAGTCGAGAGTGGCCACGTCAAAGGGAGGTGAAAGGAAAAACGCCGGCGAACGTGAGCGAAAATAAATCAAACGCGTAGTAACGCTCGCACATTAAAAGGAGAAATGGATTAATCGCTCACGGCGATATAAATGGCAATGTGAATGGAAATGAAAGTTCAATCACTTATATACAATACGTATATATATAGATAAAGAGATAGATATACGTATATATTATATATACATACATATATACTAGATCGCGAGAAGCTTCTATCGGGCGAGATACGCTCGACTCTCAATGAAGATGGAAAGGGTGAAAAGACGATGATACGGTAAAAAGGTGATCACTCGTGCACGAAAAGCAGTTACCTACGTTTCGTAAAAAGTTTCTTGAGCAAAATGTGCTTCAGCCGTGAGAAATGTTGCTTTTTGCTAATAGCGACACAACTATCGTAGAAAATTTTCTTATTCCGGCCAATAAAAACATTACGTGATTGAACAAAAGAACATTAGATTATAGAATCCCGAGGCTTGACAAGCCTCGTAGGCCGGTACCATCCTGATACGATAAAAAGAAGAGACAGAGATTCGTTACCTCGCGAGAATGAAATGGATTAACGAGATGCCTTCCACTTCTTCGCGAGGATGCGTTCGCACCTTCGTGGTGCACCCCGGCTCGATGTTATCGCGGCTCGCAACAGCTCGTAATACGTCCACGAGGAATGTGCAATGTCCGGCCCCTTCGCGCGCGAGATCGAGATCGAGGATGATCTATGAAGTGCCGTCATTCGCGGAAATGATCGCGTGATTCAGTAAAAATTCAAAACTACGACCATGAATAATCTTTAATACGTACATATACTTATGGCTTGTTTCTTTTCTTACATGCTTTTCTATAAGCTTGAGTTTTTTAATACAAAAATATATATTGTTTAATAAAAACTTTTAAATGTCAAGCAAATTAATTTTTTCTTTAAAACAAACTTTGAAATATGTCAAAAAATATGCAATTTTGTACATTATTAAACCATTATTAAACATTTCTTCAATATCCTGATTGATGTATCAGTTTTTAATTGTAAACATAATTCGTCCTGTCTAGCAAATTACTAATTTTAATGAAATCAATATTTACACATAATCGCAATGCTTCTTCAACTGCTGAAGTAATCGCCATGCGTTATTCCCTCCGCTCTTAGCGCTATTCCGAAACAGGATTTCGCGAACAGGTCTCGTAGCCTACTTCCTGTTCGTGTTCACACTTAACTTAATACTCCGACGATTCAGCGCGGAATAAACTTATACAAGAGGAGCTCGCATTGGGCATACGCGTAAACAATATTAATGCGATTTATAATATATGCGACCTCGTTTGTGATGTTTACTCCAACTAGTAGCAACCAGCCAGACATGAAATGACAATGCGCGTGGGTGAAAGTGAAGTACTTTTTGTACGTACACGATGTAAAGTACGTGTACTGAAAGTAAAGTAGCTCGCGGCTTCTTCAGAGACTGTTGTTATAGTGAAAGTAACACTTTATTGATAAGCAAAAGTGGCATGTCAGAATCAATTAATCGGATGTCCAGCTGACAATAAAGTAATTCGTTCGAGAAGTATGTCATTCTCTTGTGTATCTGTCAACTGCTCAAATAATCAATCAAGTATTAATTGTCAGTAATCAACATAAATCGCTTTAACACGATCCCTCGTATACATACATGTAAGTAGCTCCGATAAAGAAATATCTTCTTATTGCATTTTTTTATTTTATTCTAGTAAGTTGGGAGAACGGGCAAAAGCCAGAAGTCTCGGCAAAAGTTCTCTTAAGATTTAATAATTTTCTGCGAAGAGGAAAAATAATGATATAAAAGCACATCTCTCGCTTTACGATGCAACGGTTTTGATTTAAAAAATGACGAGATCTACAAAAGGAAGTGCCATGTAAAGTTACAGAAAATTAAACGCAAATTCAAGAACGACGCTTTGTTCGTCACGTACTTTCTTTCTAACTGCTGTCATGCAATGCTATTGTTCCGACCACAATCGGCCGGTTTAAAATAGAATAGGAAGTGATCCTTATTGTTGCGTTTACAATATACAATACGTCAAGTTGTCCGCCTAAAGGGTACTATTAGTTCAGCGTATATCACTGAAATCAATCATGCCCACGATCATTCAAGTAAGAATATGAGACAATGATACCTTTATTTCTTCAGATGAATACATTACAGTGAAAATGATAATAACGAAATATCACTGAAGCACGTGCAGAATTAAGCCAAAATGGCAAACATTGTTTTTGTAAAAATCAACTAAATTATTTTTTACCAATTCAGAGATTAATTTTGCTTTGAGAAATGTTTTGTGTACGCCCGATAAAAAATTTTTCATGGGCGTATAAATATAT